AGGCCTGATGCAGCTTTCTGATGGGCAAGATAGCTGCTGGCAAGGTGAGGTACATGGGGCATCGGGGTTCTGGCCGGGGCTCCAAGGGCTGTGCATGTGTCCTGGCCAGCAGTGACAGCCTGAGGTCACAGCAGAGAGGGGCTGATTTGCAGATGTGCCACTATGGTCACCGTGGCCTGATCACCAGCCTTTGGGTGACTGCACTGGGGAGATGGGTGGAAGGAAAATGATGACAGTGCCAGTCAGTCCCACTGCTCCCAGGGGAGATTTTGGGTTGAGCCCAGGATGGAGGTGCACCCTCTGTGTCCCAGGGTGCTGCCTGGGCTCCTGCACGCGAGCGGGAGCCATTCCGTTGTGTGCCCAGGGTCAGTGCTGCTGGGGAGACCTCTGAGCCCCTCCGTGTGCTCCTGACCACTGGTGGGTGCCAGGGCATCACTTGCCCCTTGGCTTGCTGGAGCAGGAGCCTGGGAGCAGCTCAGCTGGCTCCACAGCTCTCCCCCCACCCCAGTGCTGGTGCTGGTGGTGCAGGGGCCTGGCAGTAAGGCTGATGGGCTGCTCCGTTCTGGGAGGTCTTTCATCTGCTGTGTTTCTGCTGCTCAAGCCTCCCGTTTGTCTCTATGTCTGCAAGGAAACATCACTCCTCGTTTGCCTTTTGCTTCCCCTCACCAAGCAATGCCCTCTCCCAGGCAGAGACCACCCTGTGTTTCCTCCTGCTAGCAGTGACCCTGCCTGTGCAGTGCTCTGCCCAGCTCCAGGACCTGAGCTTGAGCCTCTGCAGTGGCTTCTGACCCGATGGGGTCCCTCTTTGAGGGGATCCCAGCCCCTCGCAGAGCCTGGGTTTGGCTGGGGTGGGCTGCTGCAGCCAGGGCTGCTCCAGGGAGAGTCAAGCAGAGTGTCTTCCCCGCAGGTAGTGAAGATGTCCAGCAGTGACCCTGAGCGTCCCCAGTTCCTCTTTGTGAAGGTGCTGGCGAGCCGGGGGCGGCTGGAGGCAGTGACCCAGCAGATGGGCTACCACCCGCAGTACCTTGACAGCTTCCTGAAGATGCAGCACTACCTGATGCACATGGACGGCCCGCTGCCCTTCGACTGCCGGCACTACATCGCCATCATGGTGAGCCCTGCTGGGAGCTGCCACAGGGGACAGGGGACCCTGCTCTGTCCCGCAATGCTCCCCGCTCTCCCTCCACTGGCAGCCTGTGCTGTGAGCTTCTCTGCAGAGGCCAAAATCATAATGTCCTGGAGGTTGGGTGAGAGGTGGGCGTGTGGTCCCAGGGTGCCTGTCCCATCGTCACGGCGTGGGGATGCTGATGTGCTGCTTCTGCAGGCAGCTGCCCGGCACCAGTGCCGGTACCTGGTGAACCTGCATGTGCTGCAGTTCCTGCGGGCAGGAGGTGATCCCCAGTGGCTGCGCGGCCTCGACTTCATCCCCCAGAAACTCCGCAACCTCAATGAGATCAACAAGATCCTGGCACACCGGCCATGGCTCATCACCAAGGAGCACATTGAGGTATTGGGGGAGGCTGTCAGCCAGGGACCAGGGCAGCGTTGGGGACGGCAGCATCCCGAGGGGGGGCTGGCACCCTGCCCACTTGCCCACCCATCACTGGTCTGTCCGTGTCCTGCAGAAGCTGCTCAAAAT